CTGGGACAGTAAATACATTGGCCTGACGTTCTGGATTCTTCCTCTGAACCCATTTTTAAAGGCAATCGCAGTCTGTTTTAACCTCTGACCTCGGGCGTAACATAAACAGTTTTTCTAAAGGTCGTCTATAGCAGAGATATTGTTGCAACTGAAATGCAGTTATGTTGGTTTAGATGATTTTTATAGTTAACAAGCATAATTTTAAAGCAAAACTGAATACGCCCAGGATTTGAATAATCTACAAGTGCTCCACTCGGCTAAAACGTATTTACGAACTTAATTAATGCATATTTTGGAAGTGCAAGGGAATCGCTGCCTCAGTCTAAGAACATTTAACCAACATAATTGAAAAAAATACAAAACTCCACTAAGTCATTCGATTTCATCAGAAATGTAATTACATCAGCAAAGCTGATTACGAGGTAAAACCCTAAAAGTATTGTTTGCTTTGATGCATGCAATTATTTACGAGTAATTTGTAACCAAGGCCGGAACAAATTAAGGCAACCTACATAGATTACATTCTGGGCATTTCACGTCAGTAGATCCACAGTGTACACTCACTGACATAAAACTGACGTGGTATCACTTTTCAAGGATTCAGCCAAATGTCCAGTGGTCGTAAAAAGCGTTTAAGTCGACTATGTCCGGTCAAGTCAGTGGCCTGTCAAACATCATTAAGGCAAAACAGGAAGATGTGCATAGATTGATAGCTTTTTGACCAGATGACTCGCTCATTGTTTGCACCAAGTTTGGTGTGCCTTCGAGGAAGGTTGGCAAGACAAGATTCGACGGAGGCTTCAAAATTCATGAATTCAGCAGTCTCAAACGGCGTGAAGGGCAACGTTGAGAGCTGTTGTCCTTCAACAACTGCCATTCATATGGAAAGGGAAAAACTACCACCAATTGACCCAGCTTTTCTCCTCTTACAATAAACACCAAAAACTTGTTTTGCCAAGGAAAGTTGTCGTACAGGGGGGGGCTAGCGAAAACTAAAATCGAACTGTTTTGCAGCAAAGTTTAATCTTCAAAGTCATAACTGTAACCGATAGACTGCCACGTCCCGATCGCGATTAATGAATGTCAGAAAAATAATGTGGATTCTGTATTAATCCCCTCTATCAAGGAGTTGTTGCAGTTAAGGTGACAATATCAGTCGCCTGGGCACTTTGTACGCCAATTTTGACATATTTGGAAATTTTGTAGTCAAAAATACTAGACAACGATAGGTAGAGCTTGTTCTACTTTTTCACGCCGAGTTTTCTGAGATGAAACTTGACACACTTTTTTAAAGTAATCCTGAATAATTTTCTTTTTTCAGATTTCACCGGAACTACAGCTGGTATGCACTTGGTCGCTTAAAGTCAGACAAAATTAAATTTAATTACATTAATTTCTCATTTCTAAAACATTTCAAAACTGCATTAATTTGCCAACCCTCAGTGTTTTATCCCTAAGCAGTCTGCTGCGATAGAGCATATTTTTTTCAAAATTGGGCCGTGGGTACAACATAAAAATGCATTCTAAAGACAATGAGCTGGAGGTGGACAGTAAAATGTAAGTTGTGGTTTGGTAGCCCCACCCGGCAGAAATGGTACAACTGTTCGACCTACCTATACGCCTTTAAGTAGCCGTGATTTAGGGTTTAGAAATTGGGGTTTGGTTGAAGGACTAGGGTTAAGGGGATAGGGCTTAGGTTTTAGGGTATATTCTACAGATATGGTTAGGGTTTAGGGTTAGGATTTAGTTTTAAGGTTAGAGTTTACTGTTAGGGCTTAAGGCTAGCTAAGGGGTTTTGTGTTTACAGTCATAGTTTAAGCTTAGGGTTTAGGGTCAGGGTTAGGGCTTTATGTTGGCGTTTAGGTTTACGATTATGGCTTAAGGTTTGGAATCAGGATTTAGGGCTGAATTTGGGTTTTAGAGTTAAGGTTAGAGTTTGCGGTTTAAGATTGAAACTTAGGGTTTGGGTGGGATTTAGGGTTATTGTTTCTGGCTTATTGGTTAGGATTTAGGCCTACAGTTTATGCTCCTGATTTAGAGCTCTTGCTAAGGTTATGTTTAGAGTTAGCATTATGATTTACGGGTACATTTAGGGTTGTGATTTACAGTTTACGTTCTTTCGGTTGCGGCTATGGCTACGGTTTAGAGTTAGGATTTAGAGCATAGGTTTACAATTGGGAAGTTAGGTTGCGAGTCCGCAACGGTTTTTTCATTCTTAAGGTATGTACTTTTTGTGCTGTTCAAGATCATATCATTTTCCATCACGTCTTGTCTAACCGTAAGCCGCACTACGCCCCACGCCCATTCGCTTAGCTACGTTAATATGTCATTGTTCTGTAGGTGACAAGGGGTTTCGTTCACTAGTCTCTGTTTCTCGTCCAGTTCAGTCACCGAGTTAAGCCCGTAGCTCCGCCTGCGTCATAGCCCGCTCCCTGCACGTTCTGAGGACCTACCGATAAAACCCTCTTATCGTTTGTCCCGTAATATAGGCAACCGGGGTTTGATTTTTCCAGGTGGGGCTACCAACCCAAATCCGACCCGTGTTAAGCAGGCAACTGCTGTGACCACTATGCATATTGCGTTGACCCTATGACATCTTGAGTAATGAGTTTAAGAGAAAGCGTAAGAACGCTGACCAATTTGCTGCAATACATGGATTTTCTGACATCTCTCCTCTGGATGCGAAATGCATCTTAGCCAACGAAGAAGGACTTTGCAGAAGCTTTGATGCAACTTTCGCGAAAACCGAAGAACCGCAGACGCTCCGGCTGTACACGGATTTCGTTCCTGATGTAAGTTTGCATCTTGATAAAGCTCGCGTTTGGGTCACTTATAATTGCGTTAAAGTCATGTAAGTAACTACCCTGTATCAAGACAATTTCATACAAATAGCGCTAGTTTTGACCTCTACGAGAACTGTGGTAACAATTTTTGCGCAAATAGAATGCGTAAGCAGTGGATGAAGCAGATACCGCCTGACGATGGACCTGCTCCTTATAAGATTAAAGAACGAGCTTGTTAAAATTGGACACATTAGAAACAAATTATGACGATAATGTGTCTCGATAGCGTTCAGACTTTTAACACATCGGGTTCATTAACGGAGTTTAGGTAATGGTGCTGCATCTTACCCATTTTAGTTAAGGATCGGGTTAAGGTCCCCAAACATCTGTGACATGCAAACACTACCTACTTATTGAAGTGGATTTAGGTCCGGCACGATTGCTTCGGCTTGGTGTTTCATCGTATAAGGTTGGGTCGTCTGTTGTAGACGGTCTGGTGCATAATCTACAATGACCTCAACCCAGAGAGTTGAGAAGCGATCGTTGTAGACAACTACAGTTTGTTTTTTTAATTTTCCTGATTACTTTGGCTGCTACGTGTTAATGCATTTAAACTTTTCTGACAGAAAAACAAATCTACTAACTACCTATATGTATTTAGCCATTCCTCTATGCGTACATAGACCTCGCTCGTAAAATCCATATTACCACATTCCCCGTAAGACAGGCACCCGTAAAATCCCTATTACTACATTTCCCGTAGGACAGGCACCTTTGGCTGGTCGTGTGTGTTTGGGGGCCTTCTCCCGATCGTCGCCCCATTTTATACTAAAAATGCACGACGAAAAGTTGGGACTAGGAGGGCTGATTTTGACCATCGTGTTTCTTACTTCTATGACCCAAAAGTAGCTGTGCTCCTAATATGCCTTTTTGTGATTTCAGAATGCATGGTTTTCGACTTTTTCATTTAAGTCCACTGATCCAAAGCGAAACCTGTTTGTAATGATTGCTTCTTTACCTGACTTCTCATTTTGAAGAGAGTAAGGATTGGGACTCTGGAACTCAACTTAGGAGAAAATGACTGTACCTACGAAAATCAAGTTTATTCATGCCGACTGATTCAGGGTAAGGAATGGCGCTTTTCATCACTATATTACCTGAAAAAGAAGGATTAGTAGAAAAGAAATATGCGCTAGAACCTTTGGAATTAGGCAGATTAAAATTCTTTAAAATATCCTCCAACGGCTGATTGTTATGTTTCCTCGAATAGTGCACGAGTCCGGTTTTTGGAGTTTTGAAATCGATGGCATTGTGACAGCCGATCTCAAAAATGTTGTGCTATCTTCGGATTCGGAATACATTCCACCAGTTGCCATCCAGGCTCGGCCACTTGCTGACAAAGTTGAAGGTGAGTCATTATTAGCTGTCTTTCAGGCCACATAAGTTTTGAGTAGAAGACATAATGTCCTATGGACGGTGAATACCGCTTCCACGCTGTAATTTCTTGCCTGCCTAGCTCAAGGCACTAGCGGATATTCACTCCAACATTTTCGTGGATTCCTGTAGGTTGCAGACCTGGGGTAGGAAGTGACTTGTATACCAGAACGCAAACAGTACAGGGATCCGAACCTATAAGGTGTGCGGACACATCAACGATACATATCACTGTTTGTTTACCACGGATTTTTTCGACCAATTTACAGACAACTCTATCCCCGGTTCATAGTTTGGTTTAAACTAGTGGATATTTATTACCCCTAAACGCTGTTTCTCCTGCTATCCCTCGTCTACCTCCCGCCTCTGCCGTCTAGACAACATTTTCCTTCGATCATCCGCTCCATTTGTGATATGTCCAAGGCTCGAACAAAAAGGCGTCGACGTTGACTTCGTCTTTCCAGCCAGTATTTTGGATCAGTCTGTGAAGGTAAGACCCTATACCAGAATTCACATTTACTGTGGTTGCACGTGGCGAATCAAGAGCTTAGACTTATGATACGCCCACCTTTCATTTTTCGGTTGTGTCTCTGTGGGTGTTGCGGTACGTGCGATCCGCGACTCTGATTTTTAGTCAAAGGCCAAATCCACAGCTACTGCCCAGAAATACTGCATAACCAGGAACAGTGTTAATTCACATTTTAATGTGGAAGAATAAAATTGAATCCTACCGATAGGGTCGTTTAATGTGGCAAAACAGTTTTTTTTAATTTGACATGCACGGCTAACTGTTTAATGTCCCATATTGGGGAACAGACTGCATCCTAGTTTACACAAAAAAGAGCTTAAACTTGTCGAGTGCTACAGTGTGGTCTGCACTGCCGTACAGCCGTGCAAATTAGTCCTTCTTTCGTTATCAGACAACCGCTGGCCTTTTGTATTCTAAGATGCTTTAGAATACAACGTTTTCATTAATTCTTGAGTTACTAGCGAATGCGTAAAAGGCTTATTTACAAAATAACAGGGCATATGAAAGGGTTTATTTGGATTCCATGTTTTTACTGCTCAGCTGTCTGTAGCCTCACGTGATTTAGTGATTTATCCATTCATCCAAACAGGCACACGCTTCTTATTAACGACAAAACATTGAACTAACCTGTTATATCAGTTAAAAAAAGTTGATTTATTTTTTTTTCTAAGTATGTCTTACATACAATCTGTAAGAAGAAATTTCCTGAGAAGCCATGCTACCCTAATGAGCATTTAAATAGAAACGAAAGTCTTACCTAGTTGCAAAGGATAGTTGATAAGACACTAAACACAGGTGATGGTAATCCTTTGAAAAATGCTACCAATACTGTCCATTTCACCTTAAAACCTGCACCTTATTTACAAAGATTTAGTCAACGGTTATAGTAGCAGGACTTGTCCACGAACACAAGTTATTAAAATGTCTCAAGTCTGGAACCGAAGTTGTCGAACGCAATAAATTTGAAAGACAATTTGACGAGCATACGTCTACTTCCGATAGATTCTCCTCAGGCCTGTACATTTATATGTTTATTGAAGTAATGAATTAAAAAATACGGGCAAATAGATAATTATGCTATAGCTCGGGTCTAGATAGGGGAGAGGGGGAGCAAAACACCACAGCACTTTCCCCCCTCCTCTTGCCTCCCTAAATTATCTTCTTGACCGTATCTTTTGATTCCTCACTTCAATAAGCATATAAATGTACAGGCCTGAAGAGAATTTATCGAAAGCAGACGTGTGCTCGCCAAATTGCCTTTTGAATTGTACAGCGGAAGTATCCGTAACTCTAAAACGAACGCAATAAAGTTAAAAATGGTGGTCATCTATGCGACATATACCACTTTGTACACTAACTCGAATGTGTGCAGTTTTGTCTACTTACCTGGTCTTTCAAAGTGCTTATTGCAGCCGTTCAGTTAATTTCTTAAGTTTTTGAATTTCTTCTCCCGTCCAATATAATGATTCGAAGGAAGTCCTCATGTGCAATGATTTACCGTACTAACCACACAGGTATTGGGCTTTTAGCTAATACCTGTGTTGTTAGTACGGTAAATCACTGCACAGTTCTATACTACTGGCTGCATGTTGGCGGTTTATGAATATTAAGCGGATATTCCGCAGTAGCTGGTGGATTTCAGCTCAAATATTCATATCAACTTTTGGACCGTGTCTGAAAGCGCCCGTTTCGAAAGATTCACTCCAAGTGCGCGCATTAATTTCCTCGGGAATTAAACAAGGCAAGACGTCTTCATGATAAAGAGAGCAGGGATATAGTGTTGAATCCTCAGAACAGGCATGCTTGTTTTCACAGCGCTAGATGAATGTATTATTTGGAGAGACATCATTGTGTTTTCGATATTCAAACTACGAATGGGTGTTTATTTCCCGAAAACCAGTTTTTCGGAAAAATCGATCAAAAAGCACTTAGCAAAGGAGCCATCAATAAGTATTGGTATGCCACACATACACGTACTTTCATGCAACTTGTCTGGGAGGAGATTCTGATTACTGGCTCATGTTGATAAAGAAGTTGCACGTTTTCGAAGTCATGCTCTCTGAAGGAATTATGGGCCATTCGGTATGTCCACTTGGATGCTACACACGAAAGCTCACGAATAAAGGAAATTGACAAGAACCAAATGCACATGGAACGCTGACATGGAGTTTGTCATTGCTATTTGGATCCGTTTATAGTTTTGCACATGTGTTGTACAGTGGGTGACCTAACTCCTGAAAACTGTCGGAATTTACGAGTACTTCCTTACCATCCGCAAACCGACACGACTGTGTGAATTCAATATCTCCGTTAATAAAAAAAAACAAATTTAGAAGCGTTAAAGGCATCGAATAAGCATTATAGGCAGTGCTGCGTTGTTTGAAAATGCCAATGTTTTTAGAAAAACGCAAAATTCCGAAAAAGGCAAAAATGGTTGAAATATATCAAACTTTATTTTTAAATGTGCGAAATGTCTACTCATGCAAAATATTGGATAAATAAAAACCACAAATAGAATAACTTTAGAGAATATTTTTGCATTGAATTTTGCATTTGGGTATCCTTTAAGAATTAAGTCAATTTCAGGTATGGTGTTTTGCCAACAGCCCCCATTCTGAGCATAGAGTCCAAGGCATTTTTCCAGGGAATCGTCTTGTTCCTCATGCTTTTGAATTGACTTAGATTGGGTTCAATAAGGGAAGCAAGGTTCTTCTTGATTTCGCCGATAAGGACATCATAGCAAAAAAAGGTTTCATAAGATCACATGCCACCAAGCCAATCGGTGACTGACAAATTTAGATAGAACTGTCCAGTGTTACCGTAAAAATGCCAATTTTTGTTTGTGAGGTCAGCTTTTCGCCCGTAAAAGTAATTCGTACTTCTCGTTTGTTCTGTATCACGTTGAGTTTTAGAGTGACCCTGAAATATCGCTGGATACTTTAAGATTTGCAATAGGTTCATTCGATTGCCCGTAGAGACTGATTCTTTATTATGTAAATATTAAAACCTTTAACATAAGGTACCGTCTGAAAGCATTTACCTACGTGAAGTGTTTGGACACATTTTTTAATGTAAAACGTCGTCTGGGTCATATTTGAAGACCCACGAAAACCCACAAACTGAGCGTCCACAACAAATGGCAATAACAAATATGCTTTCAGTCAATTAGAAATATTTTTTTAATAAGTTTCCTTTTCAAGAAGTGCTTTGATACTTTATTCCTCTGGCAGATGTCTGCGTATTTTAGTTTTTGTAGGATGAGGCTAAGAAAATAATTGATACTTTCGGCCGTTTCTTTCAAGTTGCCGAAAGTTACCGATATTTTTCCGCCGAAAACGTGAGAACATGCCGTTTTCTTTCTTTATTTTTATTCTCTTATTTAACTACCACTTAGGTATCGTTTTATGTGGATTGGAACATCCAATGCGAAATTGGCGAACATCCCATAAGAAGATGCGGTATGAAATTTGAGTGTATCATGCGTTCTTGGTATGCTAATTTTGTCAAAATCTGCCTAACCAGTATTGCATTCACTGCTGTAGAAAACGAAGTACATGACAGTGCGCGCTCAATGCTGACGGTTTCCCTTCACGTTACGAGGTTTCAAGCCCCAAGCAAGCGCTACAGAACTGTGCGTGCAATCGTTGTCCAAGGAGAAACAAAAAACATCCTAACAAAAATTGTTGACTTTGGTTCAAGTGAGTCTTCCAGTTTTGGCATTGTTCCATAGCATGATCCCAGGAAACTTTGCAAATATGTTACGACTGGCTAGCTCTCACATTCGGACCAAAACAGAAGAGATGCTTGGTATAAAAAGATGACCAGGAATGCCTTTAAAAATAATAGTGCTGGTTGGTAGGCAGAACAGGAAAATTGCGGCTGTGGCAGAGCCTGTGGTTAAGTGGACTTTAAAATCCAAATGCCTTCCAAGAATAGAAGCGGTAGACGGAACTCGTAACATTCCAAGTGACAAGGCCTACTTTATGCGGCTCTCCGGATAGTAGAGATTTTGAACTAATGGGTTGCAAATGTCGTCCATTTGGAATTTTATTGAGATTGCAGTACTGTAACGGCATTTACTGGTCATATAGTCTGATCTTCATTGTTTGTTTTAAACGGACTGTCCTCAATTGAACTTTAAACTGAAGGATTATTTTTAGGAATACCCGTCACCATGTTATAAATTTCTTATTTTTTGCTCAATTTTTGGTATGGGAATTTAGATTTTCTAGAATTAAATGGACATCATAAGCAAAATATTTAACATTCAGAGTTGAAATAACAGTGTTTTTTAAGCATTCGTCGAGGCTGATACCCTTGAAAGTTACAGCCGATGAACTTGTCATACAGAAACTTGTGCCTACTTGAAGGCAGAGGAAAAGAATAAAAAACTACAAATGGCAGGTCTTGCAGTCCAATAAAAAGGAGTCTAATTTAAGGCACGCTGTATCACGCGATGTTAACAAAAGTACACAGAAAGGGGGGCTGTCACGAGCCGGAATATTAAGTAAATCCAAAGCACCACAGTAAAACACCTAAATCCTAGTACTGGACAGCATCAGGTGTCACTGTTGTTAGTCTTATCACTGTGCACCAGATTTTAAAAGACGCAATTTTTCATTTCGTTGTAATTTTCTCCGCCTTCTTGGTTGTTTTTCATTTGCAAGCTGTCTTTCTCCGGCAAGTATTAGTACAATTACTCACACGCTTAATTTTGTTACGCGTTTTTGCCTATTGTGGTCCACGAAGAGAATACCGAATTATAAATGTAATCGGAAGGATTGGTTTTATTGACGCCTGCCTGAGACAATATTATTATCAACTACACGTTATTACGTCTACCACATGTTGCATTGTGAGCAAATAAAACTTGGTTTTCGGCTTATGTTTCTGTAGAAACCTTGCATTGCTCTTGACTTAGAATATTGTTCCTAGATTGAAGATGGTCAGTTACAGTTGAGAAAACCTTTTAACAGCAACGGCAAATGGTGCTACTACAATTTATTACGCTTCCTACAGGCCTCAGTCTTTTATGTTTGTTGAGAAGCACTGGATTTCTAGCAAAGGAAACGTGGCATAGGGTTTAATTTATTGAGCAATCCTTTCACTGTTACCAACTTGGAATTTTCCTTCCAGATCGAAGATAATAAGTTGTTTGTGGTGAATCCCTCTGTTAGTAGTCAGCAATATTTTTCCATTGGCCTTATATAAATGACCTCAAAAGAAGATAAATCATCGCCAACTTCAAGGGGACAATCAGTGGTTAAACTTTAACTGTACTCAGTAAAGAAGATCAAATACGTTGCACTGATCATTTTAGAAAGTTAATTTTCAGCAAAGCCATTGCATGCATTCTGACAACGGTAAAGTGGTTTAAGTAGCAAGACGATCTCGACTCATCAGCGACTACTCGGAGTTGTCTGCGTGCTCGAACACTGAGTCAAAAACATGTCGCATGTAATTTATTTTTGCCAAAACATGCCAAACAAAACTGCCATTGTAAGATTTTATTTGGTTCGTGGGTTCTCGGTTAGTCGTGCTCTGTGGAGCCTTAGCTAAGTCCCATTTGCAGACTCGACCAAATATGCATCCTTAAAGTCGAAGGCGATATATGTCCTCAACAAAGACATGTGAGTAATATGCTCTCGAGGAGATAAAAAAATATTGTTGTAATAGGTTTGCCCGTTTAAAGTTGTTTTGAAAGCATATGCTGCAAATGGAAGAAAGTGAAATGTCGCCCTCCTTCCTGCAATCCCCGGTGTTTCTGCCTCAGATGGCCAAACCTTGTATCCACGTATTCAAGTCAATTTGGTATTCTTGCCTGATGTTAGACCGCACAGGATGGCCCTGCGAATGTTACAATATCTTTAACATAGCTAATTTGGCATATTTGTCTTTCTTGGTTTTTTTTCATTCAAAATAAGCCGTAAAAAATGCTTACCAATTAAGAAGGACTAAAACTACCAGACAGGGTTAGTTTGTTTGGGATTTCCCCTAAAACGTTTAGATATACAAAGGCATTGTGAGTGTATTAAGGCAAACGAGATTCTTACTGGTATTGTCATGATTTTAGAACAAAGTAGTTTAAAGAGGCTGTCTCTGTTTACCTAAAGATCAAAAAGAAATAATATGGTAACTCGCAGCTGCATGAGTGGAGGCTATTTTTGGGCCGTTTTTGTTCCCTTACTGTTCCCATTGCTTATATGCAGATGTTGGCCTGGGAAGTTGATAATATCGGATCTGCTGCGGTTGTAAATACACGTTCTAGTTAATTACATAGTCTGAAGATATTTTCCGTTCGAGAAGACTGTATCTTACCTAAAACACAATAAATTGAGCCATTGCATGTCGTTAGTGCGTTTTTGGAAATAATATACCCGTGGCGTCGAGGTCTGAGCGATTTTCTGAAACGTTTGTAAAATTTCTTTGTGGAACGTTCCCACTTGCAAACCGCATCCGATGTCACACGTTTTTAGTAGTAGTCCTGCTTTTTAACATGCGCTCTCAACATCTTTTCGTTTGCTCAAAATTTTAAATGGCCATTTGATGATAACTGGGGCAGAGCTGACGGACATTTCGAGAGAGACCTGGTTTCTAAAAATAATCACTTTGTTCGCAACCTGTTTCTTGGGGTTTTTCAAGCCCAAGGTGCCAATTTTGAAGTGCGCCAATTCGTGGTTGGCAAAACTTCCGATGTCTAATGAGAGGAGAAGAGGATCGAATACTCATACCGAGGCTAGGATAGCTAGCAAATGGGAAATTGCCCGAATATAGGCTGAAGTGATTTCCGTTCAAACTTATAGACACTTTATCTGATTTAATTACATAGACACTTTCATATGACAAAAGAACTATCTTCGAAATAGGTCAGATGAATAAGCAAAATACTTTACACTACAGACGACAAAAAACTATCCTGTCAGTTCTCGCTATCACCTTTCATATGCTGTTGGTGACGAGTCTAACGAGTGCTTGCATAAATAAAATACCTTCTGTAATTTAATCAGCTTTGGGTGATCCACCGAAGTACCAGCATCCCGAACTATGTGCAAACCCACGATAAACCCCCAATTTCACGAAGCCGCCCCAGGTCTGTCGAATAAAGCGTCTCCTCGACGATAAGTAAACGTTAGCCAAGTGAGAATACAAAAATCGTGCAAAAAAATGAAAATCCGGGCAGAAATAGCATTTTCCTAAGGAAAACAAACATTCGAAATATAGTCAAACGTGCTAAATTATTGAAATTGATTTTTAGTGCGTGGTATTGATGCTGTGCGGACGCCTACTTACAGTGAAGGCAGCATGAAGTCAAGAAAAAAGACCAGCCATGATCTTTATCTTGACACATTTCCCCAAATTTAGCGTATAATGCAGTAGTCTACGAAACCAGCTACCAGATGTTTGAAAGGTTTGTCATGGTAGACCTTTAAAATTTTAATGAGAACCTTCCGCCTTTCGTATTACTTAATATGTGGCGGACTCAGACATAAATGACATTTCGATTTCATGGTTGGTGATCAACAAATTTCTGACTCTTCGTGAGGTCTTGTGTTGACGGACCGTTCAGTGGTCGGAAAACAAAGTAAAACCAGCAGATGTGGCGGCCAGCGAACATTTGGCTGTGTTCCAGTTGTATTTTTTTTTATTTCATTATCCTAAACTTTCTGAATACGTTGAAGCGTTTCGTTTATCAGGAGCTCTTTAATTGTGATGGTGAATTCTCGGAGATTTTTGCGCCCTTTTTCTCTTAAGAGCTGCGAAATTCGCTAGGCCTTATGAGCGAAACCGTATTCTGAAGTGGTCATGTAATGCGTAAAATGTAAAATTTCCGTAGTCCATATACGTCCGCCGGTCACATGAAGTGCCGAACTCGAAGTTCTGAGGGTATGTTTTCGGAATGAGTTTTTCGGGTTTAGGAGCCGAGACAGTTCTAGCCATTATAAGCTAGATGTCTCATTGGAGCTAAGTATATGCGTTGTCTAAAATGAAGCCTAAAATGATGTCACCGTGTTCTCCCCCCGTTTTAGCCCTATTCAGATGCCTTTTTTGCAGTTTGATGCCATTATGTTTTTACCGTAGTTTCACCGTTTGTTTATAGATATGTTTTAGTGATGCTTTGCAGACAAAGCAAATATTACTGTAAAAGTAATTTGAATTCAGTGAGAGCCACCAGTGGGACACATCATCCGTCTGTAGCGGCAAAAGTATTGTATTTGCATGAATCATTATCAATCACCCAATATCAGAACTTTTCATATTCACTTTCTGTCACCGGTTTCTAGAGTAAGCTTAGTTTCCGTCTGTGTTTTCAGCTGTATGGGATCCGATATGCAATACATACGACGGCACGTTTTCTTTCGCTGAGGAACCAACGGACATAACGGCGTACCTTCCATTTAAGCCGCAGGTTAGTCGCATGCAAGCCTAAATAATGCACACATTTTAAAGCAAATATCAACAAAACTATTCAACAAAAAATCTGCCACTTTATATTTCTTTGATAAAGACATTGTGAATGCATTTTTAGACAGTCGTGATCGGACATGCTTACACCTTTACCAAAAATAAATGTCAAAGTGAAAATGAAGTCCTTCAGTGTAAGCTGACTAACGGTACGTGCCTCATATATGCAGAAGTGATAAAAGTGTCACAAGAGTCGTTCGATATTGCTTATAGTCCTTATTGCTGGCACGAATTGTTTTATAAATTTCATTTTATCCTAGGATATTTATTGTGTTATAATGCAGAAGTGGTATTAAGATTCTAATAACCAAGGTTAATTAATACGTTGAGCAATTTCTTTGGATGCTTAGTTCGGTTAAACATCCAACAGAGAGATGTTGGAGGGTATCAAGGAAATAATTTAGAATTTCAGTCGATTCAGTCAATTTCCCGGTTGAGCTCCACAAGAGTCTAAGCGAGAGGCCGTCGGTCTAACGACAAGAATTCAATCCTGCCTAACAGGAAGCCCGTTAGCGTGTGCAGTAATGGCGTACAGCGATTTTAACGAATCACGCCAATCAAGAGTGCGATGTAATTAGAAAACGAGAAAAATTAAAAGGCATTTACACATACATAAAATAAAGTTCCTGGCTATCATCCCTGTTACAGCAAACACTTTTTGCTTGTTTCCAGTTCCGGGATCGAATATATTCAAATTTGAAATCTTCAACGTCAGCAAAAGGGACATTCAAACTATCCGCTTCGATAACTCAGATGTCGAAAGTCCACAGTTCTATATTCTCTATCGGAAATTGCTGACCAGTCTTCCACAATGTGCGTTAAACATGCTGTGCATTGACCTATGTATAAATATGCAATAGCGCTATTTTTCAAGATGTTTCTGGTCGGTAGTTGAAAGTCACTGGCCAACGGACGCAAAGAGTTTATGAATTTAAGACGATGTTTGCAGAGCTGACTTAGAAATTTTTACTATACAAGCATTAGCTACAACTTTCTACTGAAGAATCTTCTATTATTTATTAGTATATGACAATTTGTAGTTATCAGGGGTCGGATTTTATCTGAATTTCAGGGGCCATATCCCAGTTTTTTAACTCCGAATTTGTTAAATTATCGTCCTATGCATAAAGTATGTGCCTGATGGTTGTATATACAGGCCGTATTGGCTGCATCGATAATCGATTATATTAAGAGTATTGTATCTGAAAGTATGTAATCTACCATGGTGTTTAGGTTCATTCGTTAGAGGACATACTTCTAATTGAAATACCTAATCTGCAATTGATAGGGAGCGCGTCCCGTTGGACTCTCTCGAGCCTAAATGGCAGCCGTACAGCGGCGCGAGACATATGCAAAATAGCACTACTAACAAAAACAAGGAAGATTCGAATGGCCCTTCCGGCCTGTTAGCCGTCGTCAGCCAGTCATGTTTACATTTCTGGGTTGGGTATTGTTGGCTGACGACGGTAAATAAGGCAGAAATGGCTATCTCCGTCTCCCTCGTCTTTGTCAGTTAAGCTATTCTGTCCTTAACGTGCCTACCAATCCTCGAAATTAAGGTCTATCTCGTCTGTTAAGCCAATGTCGTTTAGCATGCAACGTAGTGCGTTTCCCCACTAATCTCCCACAGTGTGAACTCTGGCCGGTTGCACTAAATCCCTCTCAGTCCATACAAACCGATGTCGTCTATCGTCTGGCAGAGGTAATCAATGCTGCTTCATATTTTAGTCCTGTTTTCACCGGAATTCTCCGCACCATTTGTGCACTGTCCACCACCATCCTCATACTACACCGACGTCAGTTGCACGACCTTCCACAAACAACCGTTGGTAAGCCAAGTGGGTCCGTTTAAATTAATCTCTGCTTTAGACACAAATTCAAACCTCTAGAGGATGGCATTAGTGTGTCGACGACTTCCTAAACTGCATAGCCGTTGCCCTAGTTAACTCGCATAAAGATGGAAGCGCGACTTCTGAGATAATGCACTGCTGGACAAGTAGACCTACGCGTTAGTAGAGTCCGAACTTCGACTTAATGCTAGCCAACCATAATATCGCTCTTGGTATGTTTAAAAAATCGTGACCGGCTTCAAGGGCATATTTTGACGTGTTTGCGGTCTTCGATTTGCAGAATGTTTTGTTAGCTGTGGACAAATATAAGACATTTGTTCCTTCTTTAGCTCTTCTTTGTTCTACCTGCAGTTGGCAGTTGTTAACTCAACTTCGTTGTAGTCTTAGACAAGGTGCATCCGCAAATTCTGACATATGAATGGAAACGCTTTTCGTTTGTTGATTTCCTGTTTTTAAAAAATATGTTGTCGTCCTATTCGAAGACCAGAAACCTCCCATTGATGCTTATCTGTAATCATGGTTATCCTTACGCAATGCTATATTTTTTGAGGATTTGACGGTTCTCAGGGGAAACACTGTTCTTTGTGACGCGAAACATGCCGGCAGTCCAAAATGCCGTGAGTAACTATGAAAGAAAGTGATTTTTTTCTTTTGATTTCACTATAGGTTCTAGAGACACCCAGACTTTCATGTGGGTGGTGTCGTCGCATATTTCACACTTTGAATCTGTACCTGTCCATCTGTTTCACATATTTCTTAGATGTTCTGTTAATCGTACTAGTCACGCCAATGGTGTTAAAGCATGACATATAGACAGAAATATGCCAGGGACATCAAAATATCTTTCCATCTACTCAACTCAGCCACTTAGGCAAGAACTCGTAGAATTAATCAGATTTTGACGCTGGACGACTCGGAGTTTATTTAAAAAATCAAATGCAAAATAAACAAATCTTTAAGACCGCCCCTCTCTTTTCCGGTTTTCATTCTTCGCAGTCAGATCTAAAAAGCTAGTAGGCTTTTATCATACTCAATAACTTTCGCATTCTTTTATAAACAATCAAAATACAAACGTTCTGGGATTGGGCCTTTTCTTGAGTGTTGGCATACAGCTGTGCTTAGCTGTCAAGTTGCAAAAACACATGCGACAACGGTCCACCGACTCAGACTGCAGAACAGAAAAAAAGACAAAGGCGATAATTTCGCCCAGAGGTCGGAGGGCTTGCATACTAGGAATTATGCCGATCTGGGAATTAGTTGAACTTTCTACAAAGAGGCCTTCTGAGTGTGGGCTTCCTTATTTGCCAAGTTGGACCGTCAATTCCCGGCCCATTGGGTTGTATTTAAGCTGATCAGAAGAAGAAGCGATCGCTGGAACAATGGCTTTATTCGCCTGACGTTTCGGATTCTCTCTTGAATCCATCATCAGAGACAGTTGCAGAAAAGGGTGGCTTGTGTACAGGAAGTCGCAGTATTTATAGGATGCGGTCGCCATGCTATCGCATACCTACAGCAATTAACCGTGCTCACTTCATCAAGGATTGTTGCCCGCTGGTGCGCTAATTGCTTGATGGCCGGCATGCAAGTTGTTAATTGCTGACATCTCATCACCCGTGTTGGATGCTGGCGTGATGATTGCTCGGCCATCTGGCTCACGTGCTTGCGCGCTCCTTGAGTGGTCAATATCTTTGGCCAGTCTATGCCTCAGGACAGAATATGGAGTGGGGATGTCGTTGCACTTGTTGATAGACTGAGGTCCCGTGAACCATGACTCAAGCAACTCGCGGCTCACGCGATTATCCCCTCTCGCGAGAATTTCGGCATCATCGAACTTGAATGTGTGGCCGGGTCTCGTCGAATGGGCCGCGACCTGAGAGTTGGCGTCATTTCTCCGTACAGCTGCCACGTGTTCGGCGATTCGCGTCCGGAGCAGTCTTCCAGTTTCTCCGACGTAGTTGCTTTGTCCGCAACTGCACCAGATCCGGTAAACGACTCCAGATGTTTCTTGCCGTGGCAGTGGGTCTTTTGGTCTCATCACTTGACGCCTCATGGTGGCCTCCGGTCTGTACGCAACTCCAACCCCGAGACCGTCCAGCTACTCCTACGAAACAAATACGATGAAACGGAGAATCGTCTCGGACATGCCCAAGTCCTTCAGCTCCTAAAGTTCTGTCTCAGGACGTACTTCACGTTTGACGGAACAATCTACGAGCAAGTGAAAGGAACACCAATGGGCTCGCCGATTTCGGGATTCATCGCCGAGGCGGTGCTACAGCGGTTGGAGTCGCTGGTCTTCCAACACCACAGACCGAAATTCTGGGCTCGGTATGTGGACGATATCTTCGTCGTCATCGAACGGGATCAGGTGCTAACGTTCAAAGAACGTCTCAACAGCGTCTTCCCGGACATACAATTCACGATGGAGGAGGAAGAGAATAACGAGCTGGCATTCCTTGATGTCCTCGTCTGTCGCAAAGATTGTGGTGGCCTAAAGACCAAAGTGTTCAGAAAAGCAACGAACACGACGCAAATTCTGAACTTCAACAGTAACCACCCAATCTGCCACCAACGCAGTTGCGTAAGAACGCTATTTCGGCGTGGTGAGACGCGCTGCAGTGAACCGGAAGACAAGGTTGCCGAATCCCAATATCTTTGACGGGTTTTCAGAGAAAACGGTTACCCGCGCAACTTCGTCAACCAGTGCCTGCGCAAACGAGACGATCGACAAAATCGTGCCGACCCCAAATTCTGGCGAGCGATCCCGTACATCAAGAACGTCTCCGAGGCCGTTAGCCGCCTTCTTGCACCACTTGGGGTTGGAGTTGCGCACACCTTTTCTGCAACTGTCTCTGACGATGGATTCAAGAGAGAATCCGAAACGTCAGGCGAATAAAGCCATTGTTCCAGCGATCGCTTTTTCTTCTGATCAACTAGTTCCTGGAACTCGCATTTTCGCTTGTATTTAAGCTTTACAGAACGTGAGGATGATTTATTTTTCAGAAGATACTGGGTACGTTAATCTTTCAGTCACCTATGCAGTGTCAATTCCAGTTAGGATTTTAATCACCTGATATGACTGCCAAGAGGGGGATGACAGATGACACGAATCCTCCAATGCCCCTCAAGAGAATGGTTTTGGAAATGCCGAAGTATTTACGGCTTGTAGTTTGGGATAACACCGAGTGTTCATTAATTTCTCAACGTAAGCCAAGGAAAACAGGGGGACATAAACCGCCCTGTAAAATTAATCTACCGACCCTTCTTCTTCATTTAGGTATTTTATTTCTTGAACAGCCGCACGATTTAACTGTGAAGTGAGATTTGACAGTCATTGACATTTTGCTATTAATTGTAGGGGTTAGACAGAACAACTGAAATATCTTATCCCAAATCGTATAGTAAAAGCAAGCTAACTTAAGTGAACGTTGTTCAAATAGAAGTTACAATTGGTCGCCCAGATTTACCATTTTTAAAAAACACGCAAACGTCTCTCGCTCAGAAGCTGTAATCCAATGATAAGAATAAAACATTACTCTAAGTCGTCAGCGAGATGGTCGAGTTTCTTTATAATAGAAACGCACAACTTATGCGATTTTAATCAACAGCTGTTTTCAAATTTTTCGGGGTTCCACGAAATGATCACCTGCCGTAAATATAAAATTGTTCAACAAAGACTCGTTTTTAGACATGATGGAACACGATAATAGGATATCGGTGCGCCAACACGTGTACAAGGCCCCAACAACGAACCGGTTTGTATTCATAACGTGTGAATTGACGGTTGGAGATCAGAAAGGCTACATGACGCACCTGATTGACTTCGGCAGAAAAGGTAAGTGCGAACTGTAGATAATTAAGAATTCTGAAGCTGCGAATTGCCTAAAACCCTGGAGAAATTATTTCGACTGCGTATGAGAAATATGTGCGCAAATCAAAAATTCAAGACGGTAGAAAACTGCACATAACTTAATAGGCGGCTCTATTATACCGCATGGCTAGTTTCAAGTCCTTCAACGTTTTGTGTAGATGGCATTTTTCGGAAAACCAAATAGATTCCCTCCAAGTAAATTTCCTCGCGTAGATTAAAAGATGACCAAAATCAAATTTTATAAAATAACGGAGTTTGAGAAATGGTTTGAGGTCGTGGGAGGCAATTGTTATTAGCAGTGCACCGCCTGCATTGCCCTGCAAATGGGTGTTAAGATAAAAACCTCATACGGCACGGTCCACAATCTCCCAACAGCCAAGTGGGGTCCTTCACCCTATCGTTGCTATTTTTAACTCTGCAATTTTAAAGACCTCGAAATGCCTTGTAATAAAACATCGTGACTCTGCTTTTACCAATGTTGCTTGTGAAGTTTACAGCAAGACTAAAATCCACTGCTAAATTTCACGAACCCTATATGGTCTCCTCTGGATAGCCAGTAGAAACATATGCTTTTTGTACACGGAAAATATACAACTTGTAGTTTGAAAACCCTGATTGCAAGTATAACGTTTAGTTAGGTTCGAAATTAGTTGGATATTAGAAGTGTTTTTTAAACTAAAATATTCCCTTGTATAACACTTGGAGAAGACGCTGTTGTCTTCTAAACGAGAAGGTGGATAAATATTGTTATGCATTTTGTCTACTAAATATATTTGAATTAATAAGCTCTTCGAAAATTAATAAGAAAAACTCTTGCTGTTACAGTAGTCGTCTTCTACAGAACGTGACTTTTGTAGGCGGTAGTCTGGTTTGGCGGACGGTGTGCAGCTGCCAATGAAAGTGGCCGGGCGCACTTAATAGATATATTTGAGGATGAAAATTCCACCTCTGCTCCTCGGAGACGATGGTAAAGTTGCAGCTAACATAGAGAATGAGCCCTCCCTTGTCTCCTATCTCTTTAATACGGTGTGATAACTTCTGAGTGGTACTTTAGGTTCTTCAGAAGGCTCAGAAGGCCATGTTTCCACCTTGTGCTCTACTTTTCGAGAAATCTGGTGTGCAACTGTCAGCGGTCCAGTTTTATTTACCTTCAGACTGAAGATTGCGGTTTTTTTAATTCTTTCATGTGTTGAAACGTTCTCTGAATGTGAATATCTCTTGCATTTCTAAAGTTTTCTAGAAACTCTTATTTGGCGTGCGGTAAACGCCTCCGTTGTGTGTTGCGCAATCCTGTCGAAGTCAATATTGCATGCAGGGAGTTCATAAACCTACATTGACTAGTTACTTTGCTTTAAACCAATTCTCAACAAGTTGGCGGGTTAAGAGTTTTTTTGAAAATAAGCATAGAAATTATTACAACCGATTCACAAAAACCATTTAGAGAGCCCTATTCATTGATCCACCTTCCAAACGAAATCGGATATTTTCGCCTTTATTTTAACGAAATGAGGACAAAGTATGCGAAGATTATTAAAATGCTTGGGTTCCGGTAAACATCCGTAACCACTGATGACTGCTAGATTATTTTTTCAAAAGTATTTTTCATTTCAGATGCCTACGAAATAGGTAAGTTTCCAGAAACCAGTCGTTTAGGTTCATGTTCCCCAAAATTGTTGAAAAAAAGATATTACAAAGTCTCAATGCTCGCACTTCTGAGTTAATCTCCAATGAGTTTTTAGTCGTGTATATATTATTATTACCAAGGAACTGTTTGCCTTGGTCTGCTTAATTGAGTTAAATTTGTCGGAGCACTGAGCTCGTTGGATTGACTATTTACCTTCAATTTTGCTGGCTATGCACTGTATTGTGTCTCATTTGACTACTGTATTGTTTTCTTTAGTACTCAAGGTGGTGTCGGATATTGTGAAATATTTTTTTAATTTAACCCTCAGTCTTTAACGGCCGGATTCCACCAGTCATGCAAAATATCAATGTTAAAAATGGCCACCTTATGAACTAATTATTCTAGACAGTAGCCGGCTGTTGCGCAAAAAGTTGTACTTTATCATACTCTTTAACGAAAATTCCAACTTATTTAGTCTGTCTTCTAAGAAATATGATATAGTTCACTGCTCACTTTTACTACGCAAAATTTTTTTTAAAAAATGTCTTATAAGTAACTCAAGAACCCCTTGGATTCCATATCTCAAAACCCCGTTAACCGATAGATTAGCGTGCAGTCTGTGAAAATTTTGCAAACCAGGGAAGTAACTCCGGTGATTTTAAAAAACCACTAATATTTCAGTAGAATACCTAATTGCATTCCAGTTTTATTTTAAATATTTGCGTATCATTTTATTTTTAACAAATTCTTTTAATTCCTCTAACTAATATTCCAATTTAGGCAAAGAAGACATCGATGGTAAGTCATCGCCAGACTAAATTTGGAAGGAGAAATATGCCATCTGTATGTCGTTATTATTAAAAATACTGAAGGAGAAACGATTAAAGTAAATGCAAGAGCAACATCTTTTTTGTCTATAATGTACCTTTTTTATTATCATATTTTCTCCTTCTACTGGCAGCCGTTACGATTTACACAGTGTCTTTTTCTTTTCGCTTTCATGGTACTCTTGTAATACGATGGACATTTAAAAAATACTCTGTAAACTCGTAAAAGCTTGTTCACCTGTAAGGATCTGCGGGGAAGAAATCAACAGTTTTAATGATTCAGTTATATGGCTTGTAGAAACATGGGCCCATCTCGGCCTCGTTTACAACGGGACCTACCAAAGCAAATCAGGCGCGGACCACTTTTATGCCTTCATGGATTTCGAGCCGAAGGTAGGCCCCAAATTTAAAAATTCAGTTGCTGTCTGTTGCTGTGTGCTGACTTTCTAGGAAATGAACTCGGATACTGAGGCACTCATTTTAAAAGATAATCTCCAAATTCCGACAACAGACGCGTCTGTACTGAAGACATCATTAAGCCAAAACAATATGTATAAACGCGCATACACTTTATTTGGAGCGAATTAAAACCTCACCGGAGAAAATGTCTTACTAACAAAATACAGGTGCAGGAGGGCCAACGTCTAGTTGGCCGCTCGTTAGCATTTATCCAACTTGGAAGGAAAAGAGTACTCTGCCATCCGGATCAAAGGAGAGAGAATTTTTTCGTCATTAAACACTGATTTTGAGAGATTTGGAACTCGTTAGATGCGGTCGTCACCCGGTTCACAACTGATTTCCTAATTTGGCACAAAATGTCTTCGCATTCTAAGAGGGATGTACTGAAAGTCTTTACGTGTAATAGGTGCGCTCTCTCATGAAATTTCAACAGAAATTTCGAAATTCGCTTTCAACTTGAAAAGGCCACTTGGGTAGGATTGTAGTATTGATTATCCTTTAGCATAATCCAATGAGATTTCAGTCGTCCTTAGAATGAGCTCCTTTCTGACTGTCGGAAAGAACTGCATTTTGCAAAAAGGCTACATAAGTGCTTTGGATTTTTCCAATTGATCTTCGGTGTCTATATAAATTCAATTATATTTGATAAACGACATGCATAAAAGCGTCCTTCTAATAGTGAATAACGTCTTTTATCAAATTTAACAATCGAAGATAGGTATCATTCGACTTCAAAAAATTCCTAATTATGATGTTCTTAAGACCGTGAAATTTCCATTCACACAACATCATATTGGCACGCTTAACATTGCTTCTTATAAAGCACACGACTTGATCCATATCCAATGGACAACTCTACAGTAGGTGGGCTAACTCATGAAATGTCGACCGAAATCCCGAAATGCATTTTCGTTTCGAAAAGATTAATTGAGTGGGGTTGTAAAAATAGTTAGCCTGCAACATGATTCCATAATAATTCGGTTACCTCAGAATGCCGGCTTTCGAACGAACTTCCTTCCGGCTGCATGCAAAAGCTACAATCTGCAAAAAATGACCACTTGCTTAGCATGAATTTTCCCTGCTCGATTTCCGATGCCCTAAAAGTCCAATTATATTTCATGGAAAACATGCATACAAAATGCATTCTTTCGCTCATTCGGTAGCAAATGACGTCTTCTTCCAATCTAATACTCGACGAAGGGACATAATTCGGTTTTTAATAACTTTTCCAATTCCCGAATAATTTTGAACCCGCTCTACCGTTACGCTTGGATTCAGGGTTACCAAACAACAAGCCGTTTATTTTCCGCGTACGTAAAACCACACATTTCTCTAAGCTAGTAAAGGGGGACCATATAGGGTTCATAAAATTTAGTAGTGGATTTAATCCATGTTGTTAACTTTACGAGCCATATTGTTAAATGCAGAGGCATGACGATTTATGAACGGCCATATGACGGTACTTAAAAGTCCCGCAATCAGAAGCTTTATTAAAACCGACTCATGTACCTCCTTCGAGTATAAAATTAAAAGAAGACGTAATTGTCTACCGAATGAGCAATAGAATGAATATTTTTATGAATGTTTTTCGTCAAATATAACTGGACGTTTAGGGCATCGAAACTCGAGGAGGAAAATTCATGCTAATTAAGTAGTCATTTTTACAGAGCGGTGTTTTTGTACGCAGCCGGAAGGAAGTTTGTTCGAAAGCCGGCATCCTGAGGTAACTGAAATATTATGGAATCATGTTGCAGGCTAACTATTTTTACAACCCCATTTAATTAATCTTCTCAAAACGGAAACGCATTTCGGAATTTCGGCCGACATTTCCTGCGTTATAACGCCTACCGTACTTAAAAGAGCTTTTGAACTACATTTGTTTATGAATGTCCACAAACTCTGTCTTTTTTATGTGATGAATCTCGGAAAGTATTTGCAGTTTCCTGATATATGTCAAACAAATTTTCTGCTGCAGACGGAAAATCTTATTCTCATCCTTGTATTGCAGCCATTTTTTGTCTAAATTCTGTATTGCGTACAACCAAAAACTATGCTGCACAATAGATATCTTTCAATATGCTCGAAATTTAAAATTATTGTTTGACGATAGTCAAGTTGATGGTTTTTAAAATGTATCCGCAAATGACAAGATAATATCAATGTGGTTACACATAAGACTGCCTGCGGGCGTTATTACTGCGATTCAGAGGACGAAATCACATAGACGTCTAAAGGCTACTTTTAAAAATCGATAAAATTGTCTGGTTTTCTAAAAGTAACAGGTTTGTTTAAAACCTGCTTTACATGGCTTACGCAAGACAAAAAATCAATTTTAAATTACGATTACGTTGGTATGCTAAAACTGCCGAAGTTAAATTACTCTCTTCTGAAAGAAAAACAAGCCCAGATGAATCGACCATGTCTAGGACAGCTATCAACGTAGGAGATTTCCGGAACATAGGCTGGCGTAAATGCCTGCTTAAATTTGCAAACATTTTGCTTGATCAAATTACCTTAACACGTATTTCGCACTAAAAGGGCGCTTTCCCGAAGGAGCTGGGCGAACAAGCACAGTGAAGGATGTATAAAGGGTTAAAAATTATCAACTCTGCCCCAGTATTCGGGATTTTTGAGTAAGATCGCGCGGAGTAGTTAACGTTCCGTATGAGATAACCATCACAGACAACATCGAACGTCTTGATTCATCTTCTTTTAAAACTTTAAGGAGGTAGAATGTAAAGAGTAAGAACAGTGATCAGAATGTCAAGGACTAATTTCTCATGCTTTTGTTTTGTGAATTTTGCAGTATTTCAGGTGGTTTTATCGCATGGACGGTGAAAGTTGCATTATCAGCACACACAATTTTACGTGCAAGATTCGAAAAGGTTGGTGATAAAAATATGTTAGTTTAATATGTATGTATGCATAGAATCTGCTAACAGTGCGTCTTTCGGAATTTTCCCTCGGACCAAATCAAGTATTTTGACTGCTGACAGTATATCGTCAAATTATTCTCTATGCCACCTATATTGATGCCTAGTTTACTGAATCGCTTAGGTCATTTATGTTTTATCCAATGCGTGTTCCTGTTTTGCGTTTCTTTTCGGTGTCAAGTGGTGCTTGCCATCGAGCGCAAGTAAAATTTGTTGCATATTTTTTCGTCATCATTGACCGATATTACAAACTCAGAGCAGCTCCCGAGATTCAGTTGACGTTAGTAAGCCGGTAGGCTTTAAAGTCAAAAGCTTTTCCGCCTGAACTAAGGGCCCCATATCCGGTCGACTGGGATCAGAAATGTCTGAGGTCACATGTAGTTAAGTTTAACGAATTTCTCCGTATTTGCTGAACGAAAAATATCATATTCGCTTCTGGAATATTCCGGGTGCAGAAAGCACAAAATATGTCCGGGTCTGTCAAGTCATCCTACTTGTTTTAACAAAAACTGGCAATGCGGGCTTGCGTTGCAGCCAGTAAACTCTATTGACAGCATAAGTCTGATTATTATTCTTCCAAACAGTTGTTGGATCATCCTTCTGGCGCGTGGAGATCAGATCACCCGAAGCTCTAACGGCAAGCGAGCTGTCATTTCAGGACTCAAAGCCTTACCCTTCAAGACAGTACACTATATACAGCACTCCTTTCGCTGACAAGACCAAAGGTAAGTGATTTCTTAAACATATCCATATTTTTTCTTCAATAAATCAGCACTCATGCTGCAATATGCGTGTTATTTATTATTGTTTTTGACCTGCCACATCTCGTTAGTATAGACAGGCAATTGGTGGTGTGTGGAGATCGAAGAACAATCGCCTGAGAAGTGTCCTTGGGGTTTCATGCATTCCGCTTTTCTTCCAGATCATATATTCTAGACACCAGGGATGGGAAAATTTTACGTGATGCCAGCGCCTTATGAGGTATTCGGTAGATAATTTTAGACAACGTTCTGGGATAGACTGATCAAGGTAGAAGAAGCTCGAGCACTTGGAACGCGGTAGATTTCAAAAAGAGTAAAAGTCAAAACAAAAACCGAACTTTCCATCCCGGAGACCAAGAATTTTTATTTTGCCAAAGCGGTTCAAAAAGATACTTTAGAAAATCATTTGATCAACCACTTGTGTTGAACTACTTCACGTATAAAGACCATTTTGACGGATCATTATTTAGACTAGACTGTGAAGCTTATTGGTATAGCAGAATTAGCTGTCCAAAGCCTGTCGGGAGGAATCTTTAGGGACCACGTGTGAGATTTAAAACTTTTGAAACCGAACAAAAAAGTTTAAAGTCTCAAAATAAACGTTTCTGAAAAACGACCCTAAAAATGAAAACCTACTTGCATCAAATACCGCATTTAAAAGCCATTTCACTTTACAGTGGAAATAATACATGTAAGGGACGATAGTGCTGAACATTTTGAATTTATTATTTCAAAATAGAGCGAATTTCTCTCTCTCTCTCTCTCTGATACAACATGACTGCACTTCTCACACTCCAACAATCAAGTGAATAGCGCACATTGCATGGAAGGATTTTGTGATCTAGCCTTACTATAGTAACTGGATGAAAGTTCGACACTTACTGATGCAGCCCATATTTCGCGATTTCTACTGAAGCATGTTAGTAGAAAGATTTTTCTGGGAAAAGTGACAGAATTCCGCGTAGGAACGTGCTTTGGAGAATGCTGGCTCTTTATTAGGTAGCCGGCGTCATTTGGTATGCGTTGAGTCAAATGCTGAACCCAGGTTGTCATCCATGTGCGTTGACCTGAAAATGTGTGATTAGGTAGCTGAGTGAGGTCAAAAACTTGCTTCATGTTTAGATCATGTTGCAGAAACGAGCGAACGAGTCGACTAATTCCCGTTATTTCCTTCTATGTGGGCTGGGATGGACTGGGCCCCTCTATCGAAATCCCAACCGTTGGCACCGACACTTGGACGGGTGTTGGTTCTTTGTAATTCCCAGGAACAACAAAATGGTCTCAATGATACTTTGTTAATAAATTATTACGAAATGTGGTCCTGTAGCCCAAACTAACCTTTCCACGGGTCGTTTGGACTCAACTTATGAACATGTATGTGTTTTGCCAAAGTAATTACCGTGTCCCTCCAATGTTTTCGATAGATATTTTGTCCATTGTTTAGCAAAGAACTCGCATGGAACTTGTGAACAAATCAAAATTCCTAAATGCAAACCTCTTCAAGCGATTGTATTTCAAGTGAAGTCTTAATTCTGTTTATAAGGACTACTATCGTCGATCGAGCAGTATGTTTTATGCCGTATTTAACAAAGACCACACGCAAAGCTAAAGTGTGCCTTTCTGTTAGGTCGCTTCCTCCTCGAACTCTCTCAGCCTTTTGTCCACCACGCAACAAACTGCTCAACTATCTCGATCAAATGTGCTTTTGAGCACACGGAGGAAGGTGAACACGTTCGGGTATGCCTATGTTAATTAATTAGAACGAGGATTTTATAAATACTTGACAAACGAACTACGCAGTCGCGATTGCATAAATCGGCCAAAAGACCCTTTTTTCATGAGACTATTTATTACTCTTGGGCAGGTATACGACAAATCTCAATTATTCACGGGATTTTGCAATAAATATGGATCATTCGCATGGAAACATGGATATAAATATGCTGAAATATTTTACCAACCTGAATTAAAACAGTCACCTTTGTGCAAGTATAAACCAACACACACCAGCACATTTTAATGATCTATATCACTTTTGCGCCTGGCGTTTTCGCCTCCCGTGAATTTAAGAAGAACCACTTTTCCAATTAAAATATCGAAGACGACACGGAGTCTTGAAGCCTAAAAGTGTGTAAAAATCGTCTTGTTGGGACATGGATTGCCAATAAACTAAGTCTTGTCAAACGATAAGGTTTATGCTATGCCGCCTTATGAAAAGTTAATTGGGATTCTGAAGTGTATCTTCAGTTCGAGAAGATTCCATAAGTATGGGTGTCATAGTAAGTATCTCGCCGCAAAACTTTAAGATAATCCAGTCGGCTTCCGTACCAGTTTCTTATCAACCGCTTGCATAATCTATTTTCGGCGAAAGATGACTGCCTAAATGGCATGGATTTCTCCCACTAATATTTGATATCCTTATAAACACATGCAAAAAATATTCTTCTTAGGCTCGACTGTTAGCAAATCACGCCTTTTTAAAATTTTACACTTGAAGAAAGAGTATATTTCGGTTTTGAAAGCTTTCTCAATCCCCGAATAATTTTGGTCTCAATCTGCCATCACACTTGAATTCAGGGTTTCCGAACTTCAAGCTGTATACCTTTTGTGTGAATAAAAGTCATAGATTTCTATATACTGTTAAGAAGAAAACACAAAGGATTCATGAAACTTTGCAATGACTCTGGACGGCATTGTCTACTTTATAAATAACAACAATAAATGAACTGACGCGGTGCTGTACAACCGGACATTTCTCGCTCCTGTAAAAGCCCTTACTGAGAAAACCTTTTATAACCAAAGGGAATTCGTCCTTCAAGGATATAGTTTAAAGAATATGCCGTGTGCTATCAAACGAGTAAAAAAGGATTAATTTTGAGCATGTTTTCAATAAAATATATTCCAATTTATTAAGACCTCGAAAATCAATGAGGGGGGCTTCACGCTATATATGCAATCATTTTTTACAAAAAAGTAATTATTGTAGGCAGCCGATAAGGAACCCCTTCAAAAAACGGCATCCTGGCGTGACTAAATTATATTTAAATTGTACGACACGCTAATTGGCATGAAAACCACACTTAAGTCATCCTTTATAGTTGAAAAAGCACTTGAAAATTTCAATTAACACTTTATGAGATAGCAAATGTACTGTCATATTGGACTAACCCAGATTAGCTTCCTTACGTGTGTGTTTGAAATGTGTAATAACTGGTAGCCGTACCCCTCTCCCCAGCTGCTATGCAGTTTTACTAGCCTTCTTCGTCAAATTAGCTTATTATCAGTACGGAAAATAAACTCAAGCTGGGAAACGTTCTTCGGTCGTTTTGACAGGAGAAAATGAAAACACTCATTTCCCTCCCCTCCGTGACAAAACAACAGCTGGGTGCCTCGCGCCTCATCACACCAGGATTACACAATGTCCTTGATAGTTCTGCTGAATATCGTCACTCTGCGACATTCTGATCTCTTTCCACATAGCATGCTTCTCCATCCTTCTTTTGCTAGGACGATCATGGTCTCTACAAGCGAGTGCTAGGTCATGACGCTTATACGTTAGCGACGCACATCCAAGTCGCGGTCTGCGCGTTGCCAGATGTGGCGTCCGGTTCACTCGAGTTGTCTTGTCATCTGCCTCCCCGCTTCTCTGATGTGGTTGTGCTTTATGTGCTGTTGGCAGCAGGTCCCTCCAGACGGTCAACAGTTCTTTAAGCGGACTAGACAGAACATAAAATACTCCCGAAGCGATTTACGAGGCCAGGTCGCAAAGTAGACGTGCGTATGAACACTTATATAGAGAAAGAAATAAAGAGATCTATCAACGCTGTTACAAAACCCTCCATAACTCCATCAGGGGTTAGCGGTGCGCAGAACTTACGAACCTCCAGTAGCGTGCATTCGACATGTAGCAGGGCAATGTTGATCTGATGGCGAGATGCAGACTTGCGACCTGTGCCCAAATAACAAGGCAGCCAGTGATTGCAACACTTACCCAATCATTGTGATGTCCCTTTTCATCGATCATACTGACGGACACCAAGTAACCCACACAGATAATTCATGAGACCGAAAGCAAGACGATGTCCACCGTTCGCTGCAGGGTATAGTGGACATAGGGTGGCAATTTGCATCCACTTACCGACTTCCGCATCATCTCTCACCCTCCAGAGTCCGGTGGGAAGACACAGTCAGGGCTCTACCGCAGACGGGTTTGGACGCAACGACCGACAAAGCTAAACTGCCCGTCTGTGTGTGCCACAGAAGAACTGGCCCGACCACAGTGGGCCGACTTGCGACAGAACAAAAGGGGACGACTTGTATCCCACCTGAGTGGGAGTGCGCTAGAGACCATTTTCAGAAAAAAGTCATTGCCGCCTTGCTGTCCGTCCTTACAGTAGGACTGAATTAGTCTGCTAGGTCCGTCATGGTAGATTCAAGCGTCTCAGACGTTATAGTGCAAAATGCGCTGAAGTGCTGTGGGGACTCGACTGCAACCTCTCATCTACCTCTCAGACATCATTTCGCTGTCCGTACCTGTCAGCTATCTGGTGCTCTAACTGGACGTAAATGCATGGCGCGTCATGAAACCTGCGCCTAGGCGTGCAACCACAGCCCCCTAAATTTAGCACTTTTTATAGGATATGCAGCCCGACTAATGCGTGCCCCGTCCGATCCTGCCTCCTTGTGCTGGTCCGGCGTATCTCTTGTGTGTCCCGTTGCGGGAACACTCGAGTGACCCGAGAGCTACCTGCCATGTCATTAAAAGCCACATGTCATCATTCGTGCCATCCTGTGTTAGTGAGATGGAAGACCTGGTCATAACTGTAGCGGCGTTCGAAACAGCACACCAAGACAATGTAGATGAGGGATCCTCTGCCTCTGATAACCGGCCAATTTCCGACGTCCACATGACAGTTCGACCGTCGGTTTCGCCGATGTCCACCGTGTGCTGCACCAGGAGGGTGGGGCAGGGACGGTGACTTGTGCGAAAATTTAGTTTAGAGTGATAGTAGACTTGCGCAGTATCTGTCGCACTCTCTTCTCCTCCCCTATCTGGACCCGTTGTTAAAACAAATTCAAGGAGACCAGAGGCAGGGGGTGGCACAGGTGGATGGCGCGGCCTAACCCGCACCTTGACGTTCCACTCCACACCCCCTGGTCCACAGAACAAATGACCAGGTCCTTGATTAACAGCAACAATGGGTGGTGGCGGGGGCCCAGCGTGCGCGACGTACGCCGGCAACCGGGTCCGCCACCGCACCCCAAAACGCAGGCATTTGTTACGGTGCGCAAAGCCGATAACGCCTGCCAGAATCCGATATGCTCCCCCCGTGTTGGTCCAGCGCAACTACCACATGGCCCGTTTGGGGTGCACTTCCACTCACCCCCCCACACAAACATACACGACGGCTCGACCGTCGGCTTCGACGGTGCTCCAAATTAGAGGGAGTGCAGCGATGGTGCCTTGCGCGTGAGTTAGTTTGAAGTAGCAATAGGCTTGCGCCGCATCTACTGCACTACGGCAACCAGGTCCGTAGTCAAACCCCGAACTTTTGGCATTTGTTACGGTGCGCAAAGCCGATAACGCCTACCAGAGTTCAATATGGACCTCGTGTTAGCCCAGCGCATCTACTACGTGGCCCGTTTGGGGGGCACCAACGTCGTCATACAACTTGACTGACAAACACGCCTAAAGTCAAGGTGGCGAAGCACAAGAGCTTGCTCACGTATGAGTCGGTATGAGACAGTATGAGACTGTCACTGAGGTCATTATTAGTTGAATCGATTTACATTGGAACTCTCTGTGTGAGGGGACACTTTTTAACATAATTCTCCTATTCCGTTGTAGTTCAAGGTTCACACAAAATACCGGACGATATGTGGAATCGGCCACCGAGACCTGCCTCCTTGTAGTGAGTGCTTTGAGTTTGCTACGCAAACCTTTGTCAGAGCATCAGTGACCCTTCTAATTATCTAACCTCGTTTATTCTCCAGAAAAGGTGGTTTTCGACACCGAGGCTGGTACTGTTACGGTGACTGCTGATGTTTACAGGGGAGACATTAATGGGGAGCGATATGGGATTTTTACTTGTCAATCCAAAGACCTTGAGGATCTCCATCACCTGGTTGATTTCGGACCCGAAAACGCCGCAGAATAGGTAAACACTTGGAAAAAGGGTGTATAATTAGCGTTATCAGTTTAGTGCCTATTGGTAATTTATTCCATAATCCTGTCTTCAGCCATCTTCAGAAAGTTTTGGGTTTGTTCAACATTCCTCAACAAATTCTGCTATGACTAAACCATTGCTGTATAAAGCTTTATATGTTTTTTGTCCAATGAAATACTTTAAATTTATCAACGCATGTCATTTGTTCTCGCAAGGGGCTCTAGAGCTGGCATTCCGTCAGACCTCAGAAAGAATACATACTTTCTCTTTCAGTCATTCAGCCTCAAAAGGAGAAGGAAAACAGGCGTTGTAGTTCCTTTTTACTGGTTTGGTGTATTCTCTCTTCATATTAAATAAAACTTGTAATTCCTTCCTCTTCAGTAGACTTTGCTAATTTTCTAAGATCATGACGTGGGGGTCGTCAACAAGCTTACTATATTCGCTCGCGGCCAATCACACAGGGGACATATTTTGCCTGATGGTGACTAATTCAATACAACATTATAATATTTTCAGGGATTTATAAAGACTTTTGACTGTTAGCAACTGTCGAATGGAAGAGAATATGCGCATCCCAGGTTCTATTTTAAAAGAAGACGAAGGCACGATCACTGGGACGGTAGATTTTATTGACCTTAGCTTTTGAAATCAAACTGGAGTTCATCATCAAAGACTGCTAGAGTGCAGCAGCATGTGAACATTTATGTCGTTGTGCCGTGAGGAGGAGGACTACGTCCGTGGCTAGGTCTGGTTTGTGCTGCCTGGCCCATAGTGGTCCCCGGCGTGGTGACGCCGTTTGTATTTCGCGGCGATGTGAGCTGCGCCACCTGGCTGCGTGGGCGAAGTGCGTGATAACACGCAGGCAAATCAATGTTTCTATCGATAGAATTGGTTTCCGACACCCACGCTTCCGACAGTTCTCGCCCTGTCTTGTTGCCGGCTCGCACCAATATCCGCGTGTTGTCGAAGTGGAACTCATGGCCTTCCTCCAGCGTGTGAGTGGCGACTTGAGATAGTGGATCGCCTCTCCGAACGGTTCGTTTTTGCTCAAGTATTCGTAAGCCGAGACGTCGTCCTGTTTGGCCTGTGTAGTGGCAACGGAAGTTATGGCACGGGATTTGATAGACTACGCTCGACTGCTCATTTGCGCCCAGACGATCCTTCATTTTCATGATCATGCTACGCATGGTAGCCGCCGGATGATGAGCAATGCCCACGCCTAACTCTGACGCAATTCGTTCCGTAGCCCTCGACACATACTTTATGTACGGTAAGGAGTGCCAAATTGTTGGTGTCTCTTTTCCGTTTGTCAGTCGTGGGTGCGTGCGTATGCGTATGCGGCTGATGAAACTAGTTGGGTAACCGTTCTTTGTTAATTGGTCCCTGAGATGCCGTAGTTCTTGCATCCGTCCTTTGGGCTCACTACAGGGCGTTTTAACCCGGTCGAAAAGCTCCCTCAACCCCGTTTGTGCACCGATGGGTGGTTGCTATGATAGTTGAGGACCTGGGTTGCATTGGCCGCCTTTCTGTACACAGTAATGCCGCGTTTACCATCAGGTGTGCGCGTGACGAGCACACCAAGGAAGGGTAGTTTCTCGTCCTATTCGTCTTCTCTTGTAAACTGAATGTCGGAGGAGATGCGGTTAAGCAGGTCTTAAAACCCGATAACCTGTCCTTTTCAATAATGACGAATGTATAGTCCCCGTATCGGCGCCAAAACGCAGGTTTGTAGTGCTTGAAAGCTACCTTTTCCAGCTCTCGTAAGACCAATTCCGCAACTAGGCTGGATTTTGGGGAACCCATGGGTGTTCCTTTGATTTGTTTGTCTGTTCTGCCATCGAGGGTGAAAAAAAGTTCATTGACAGAATGCACAGAGCTGCATTAGGTGCTGAATCTTAAGGGGCCTCATCGTTTCGTCGTACTTTTCTTCGAGGCGTTTACGTAGCACGCCGCGCGCCAAGTCTGGTGGGATAGACGCGAAAAGTGAGACGAAGTCGAAAGATATCATGATTTGGTCGGGTCGAATAGTTTTTCCCCGAATGTCGGCAAGGAATCGGGAGGCCGAATTGACTGACGTCACAGAGCGCTCTCGGAGAAAATTGAGTTTTTGGGACATCTATTTGGCTAGATTGTACGTAAAGCTGGGCAATGATTGGCCGCAGAGGAACGTTGGGTTTTGGATTTTCGGTAGTCCATAGAACCTGATCAATGCCGTGTCGGTTGGTTTTGTCTGGCGCTATTCGTCAAGCGAGATTACATTGTTGCGCCGGAGTCGGCTTAAGTGTCCAGTCAGCTGGCCACTCATCGATTAAGCCTGCGAGGTGGGTGCGGACTTATAGGACTGTTGGTCGTTCAGGGGAGCTTGTGTCAACTGTATATTGGTATTTACAGTGTTCACTACACCTGAACCCCCTGTACGTTTCTTCCCCCTGCAAAACCACTTTACGTCACTGAATTTGTTTGGTCCTTTTTATGCCACTATACAGAGGTTCCCTTTTAACTGTTCTCTCCTCGCATTCCTTTCTTTTTATGAACAGGACAGTATTCAAATTAATGAAGGCCGTATACTGCATGTACTCGCTGCCTCTAGACTCTCCTCAAGTAACCAAACGCAAAAGAGAGCAACTGTCAGAAAACGGTTCATTCCGCTAGCTGACAACTATCACTGGAGTAGATAATCTGTTTCATAATTTCCGCGAATATTTTTCCACACAGTGATACTATCTGACGCCAGTTTAGAAGCATGATTAGAATTACTAATATGCTGTGTGGGTCGAACAACCAGTGGAAATACCCTTAATCTACCTCGGTATATTTTGGCTTCAGGGGCGTTCGCGTTGCAGACCATAGTGAATACGGTGCATTCCGCATTCAATTTCAACTGACCATCCTACTATGGTGCTTTCAGTAACACCTTCATTATTCGAAATGGTATTGTTAAGGCGAGTGCCGTTCGCCTCTTTGGGAGCATAATGTGACGATAGTGAGAAAAATAATAACTTCCTCTGAAAGCTTTCAAAATACTGGTGTACTGGTCGGCGTATCGAGATCAATCTGTTGAAAAATATGCTGAGTGCGGTCGATTAAACCTTGAATCTAATATACTACGATACTGCCAAAGTTGACTCCTACCTTTCCGTTGGTCCCAAACTAGCCGATGTTGAAATGCCCTAATCAACAACAGGTTCATTTTGTAGGCTAGTCTCGTCAGCAGACTCTTCACGCAGGCAAATTTCCGTCTCTGTTGCTGCGTTGCATTGGCTAAACAGGTATTTTGCCACTCTACAGTAAGAATCATTGAACTTACGCGGACGCTAGGACATCATCTTTTTCGACAGAAGCCACGCTCCAGCTTTATCCTTAATTTTCACTATCGTCCGAAAACACTTAACGACTCCATCGCTGATATGAGGAAAAATGCGCCACGTTTATTTGCCTTCTTGGAACCCTTTTAAAGTAAACAAATGCAGCGATCTATGACCGTCAGAAAGCAGTTTGTTTCTTTTTGCAAAAAACCGCAAGTATCGGATAGAGAATTAAATAATATATCTCATCATTTCCGCGCAAATATTTTCCATATAATGATAATATTGAATGCAAATTTGCAGACATGGGTAGACTAGTTCTGCTGTGGGATTCAGAAAAAAACAGTGGAAAAACCCCTAACGTGACGGTTGAAGTTTAGTTAAGTATATTCTAGCATCGAGGTTGTTAACGTTGACGGCCATGGGAAATATGGCGCATGCAAAGGTCAGATCCAGATGAAAATATTACTAAGACATTTTCAGTAGCAGCTCCAGAATGCGTAATTGTATTGTGAAAGTGATTAAAATGACTATGCTTCGTGATTCGAACATAACGTCGAAAAACCCCTTAAGTGACGGTTAAAGTTTAGTTTATTCGATGGTGTTAACGTCGAGGACCATGGGAAATATGGTTCATATCAAGCTCAGACTTAAATGAAGGTGCAGTAGGTGGGCTAACCATGAAATGTCTACTGACATTCCGAAATGCGTTTTCGTTTCGAAAACATTTATTAGTTAGGGTTGTAAAATTAGCCAGCCTGCAACATAATTCTATAATATATCAGTTACCTCGGGATGTCGACTTTCGAATGAACTTCCTTCCGGCTGCATTCAAAAACTACACTCTGTAAAAAACATCTGCTTAAGTAGCATGAATTTTTCCCATTGATTTTCGATGCCCCTAAAAGTTCAATTATATTTCATGGAAAACATGCAGGAAATATTCATTCTTTCTCTCATTTTTAAAAAGTTTTCCAATTCCCGAATAATTTTGAACCTGCTCTACAGTCACACTTGCATTCAGGGTTTTGAAACTATAAGTCGTATATTTTCCGCGTGTGAAAACCACACATTTCTGTGCGGTAATAAAGGGGGACCATACAGGATTCATA